GCTACTTCCACAAGGAAAAAGGTTTGATTTGAAGATCTACTGCACGTAGCTAATGAAATTGGACCAAGTATTTTGACAACGCCAGACCACACTCCGCAATAATCACACAGTAAAAGTGAGTGCTACTAAGCTGATGTTTTAATTACACCCACCGTATTTAACAGACCATCCGGCTAAAGCTTATCCTGGCCCCTCCGAAAATCCCTCAACGCGAAATCGTTCGTTGATGAGAGATATGTGAAAACATATCTAGATCAGGTTTTCACTTCTAAGCCCCAGACGTTTTACAAGAGTGGAATAATGAAATTGTTAGAAACATGTCAAGAGGCCATTCATAAAAACGGCAAATACATTATATAATAAAATTTATTCTTTTTATGAAATCGTGGAATCGTTTTATTTCACCCTTCAAAAACTGAATGAAGTTATAGATCCACCCAATACAAACAACATATCTGCTAAACCAGAGAATAGAAAATTAAACCAACTGCTTGCTACTTACCTTTACAAGTGTAAGGAGCTTTCTGCACCAAGTCAGAACGAAAGCCGTTCATTCCCTAAGAGTATCGTTTTATGGACTTGTATGTGTTAAAGTAGATTGCATCTGTAAATATAAACAGAAAGTAAATTGTTTTGTCAGAAGATTCTTCAGAAGAAGAATAGTTCTGGTATGGAAGGCTTCTAACAACAACTGCACCCAGTTTCAATAATCATCATCGACGTCAACTTAACTATCGATCTACATGAGTAATTACTATGGTACTTTTCGTCCCATTGAATTGAGAAAATAATAATATAGGATATTTCTGTAATAGATTTTTAAAAATTAAACTATTTATTGTTTCAAAATTTTTAGCTTTTTCAAGTATATGTAATTTTTATTCATCATATACATATTTTCATAGACTTGCACATGCATATATTATGTATTCTTTTATATGAAACCAGATAAAGCAAAGGCCACATAAAATATATTTTTTTTTTCTTTGCTCCTTAAATATTTTTTTGACTTGTTTTAAGGTCTCAAATGTTCTCCTTTTTCTGTATTTTTGTATTTCAAGGAAGTTTAAATTCTCACAATAGTTTCTGCTATTTCACTATGATAATATATTATTATAATAATTTGTGCTCAAATTGTTTTACAATATTTACGGGATTTCACTGATAAACAAAAGTCACAGTCATTGGGTCTGTTATTTCATCCAAAGTGACTTCATCCACTTTTTTTTTTGGTGATTCTACATCAGATGATATATGATAAGACACATCCAGGTGTTAGTTCCAATGAGCCATAGGAGCCCTCCATATAATGTTTTATAAATTAAAAAAAAAATGTTATTTCTCTTTGCCAAGATATCTTGGTTATTATATATTTCTTGATTTAGTTTTTTGCATAATAAAAAAAAATATTGACAATAGTATCAATAGATAATAATGTATTTTAAATTACAAATACACATCCGGTACAATAGGCCAAGTAAATTTAGTAATGAAAAAAAAAAAATTATTCGTTTCAAGTCATTTATGAATGTGAATATGAATTTTTACTGAAATAAAAAATACAAAGCCGTCAACTCAAGCATTCATAACTCTTGCTAAATTACTGGTTTTTCAACCCATATCAATAAACATTAGATTTTGTTCCTTCATTAGGTGCAAATAAAGAAAAACTTCTCAAACGTTTTTCTTTTATATCTTTGGTCTTATCTTTTATATTTTTTCTATAGGTACCGAGCCGATTTAGAAAAATATTACTTTCGCCAGATAGCTCTGATATGAGTGCAATATTATAACAAATTAGATCAATCGACGTAGGACTATGGTGGTAAAGATTGTTTATTTGGGCTTTAAGAAGTAAAATCCAAGTGTCATCAACGCCTATTGGATTTGAGGAGTTCAAGATTTTTACTATCAATCAAGCTTTAACATCAAGGACTATAAATAAAATTTTGACAATTTCGGATTCGACTTAAAATAAGATAATTATATGTTGCTTATCTAGGTTAGACTATAGCGAAAACCTCTGAGACATACGTATACAATCTGAAAAAAAAATATAGTAAGTTTCCATTAAATAGTTTGAAAATAAAAAATGTGATATCAATTTGAAATAAACGAGTATCTTGAAAAAGTGTATGTGATCTAATGAACTGTCTCAATGGAAAGAAATGATACCGGAAAATGCAGACTTTCCATTTAACCACAAATGGATTGACCTAGGCTCACGTATTCCAAGCCTATTACGCTAGCTCTATTCTATATAATATCGGAGACATTATGTACCAGCCTTAGGTAATCCCGGTGCATCCAGTGTAACTGACTTATATGTCATGCTTGGGCTTGAGATACAGTTATGCAAATTATATTTTAAATGTCCTCGGCCTTCTTGACATTTATATCCATTATAAAAGAAATAAACTAGATGTCATTGATCTATGATTATTTATGCCGTTCGAACATTTCATCATTATTTGTAGAGATGTATTAATTATGTTAGGAGATGTGTGCTTTCTTGATGATTACGTTTTGATTTAAAACATTTCCTAAATAATAAGAATGTGTACGTGTAAGATAATATTTCATAATTTTAAACTGAAGTCATGTCGCAATCGTTCTGCATATAGCAACTAAAAATTAAGATACGTATCACTCTAGAATTAAGCAATCCGTTATTTGTTACACGGGTCTTTGATAGTTTGCTATTCGGCACGGATGTATCTCAAAACTTCCTGAGAAGTTCTTCTCTCTGGCATTCTCATATCGCTTTTCTGCTAATTAATATCATATCGCATAACACTTAATCTTAGCTGATTTTCTAACAGCTAAGATTAAGTTAGCTAAGTTTTTCTATTAACTTGTCAATTCTTCAAAAGAATATATAACGTACACTAAATCGGAACGAATTTAAATTGATTATTTATAAAAATTTCGAAACTTTTTGGTGGTATAAATGGAGTCAATTATCAAATGATGATGGACTCTAATACACCAAAAACATTTTCTTAGATCCTAAAATACAAAATTTAAAGAATTAATTTTCTATGGTAATCGTTTTTTTAAAATAAGCATATATATATATATATATATATATATGCTTATTTTAAAAAAACGATTACCATAGAAAATTAATTCTTTAAATTTTGTATTGTATATATATATATATATATATATATATATATATATATATATATATATATATATATATATATATATAGCATTGTAAAATTAGAATATATATATATATATATATTTTTTTTTTATTCATTGATATTTACAACTGTATTATAAAAAAATACAACTAGTAAATGTGCACACAGTAATAATACAATCACATGAAAACGCTTGTAGAGAAACTACCCGTTGGTAGCACTCTAATAATATATTTACATAAGTAGGATATAAGGAAAATTAGAATATGATACTAAATGATATATGACATATGATACTAGACAGCAATGGGTTAATACGGTCATTCCTTAATCTAAATCACATAAAAACAATTAGTAAATAAGATTTTCAAAAGCTTCATGTTCAGGAAACTGTAGAATTTAATAAAATTTTTTATCACTAAAATGTTCGTAGATTTACAACCTATGTCGTTAAAGGGATGTTTGATCGCTCATTTAAATATTTATTGTATATACTTTGTTTGTATATGTAACGTGACCGAAACAATATTAAAATTTTATTGTACTCGTTTTCAAAATTTTAAATATTTCAAATCATATGCATAAAATATAAGTTTCGAAATGAGCTATCGAAAATTCATTTAGTAGTCTATAGTAAATTCATCGGTTGTAAATCTACGCGCATTAATGTAATATTGTATAATTCAGCTCATTATGCAATTTTTAAAAAAGTCTATATAAAAACTACTCATAAAAAATAGATTTGTAATGTATTTAGAATAGAAAATAGAATAGAATAGAAAATTAAACTTTATTCTGGGACTAAGTCCCTTTAGAATAACAATGATGAGTTAATACAAATTAAAGTACAAATCTGGCCAAAAACTAACTTATAAAAATTTTAATATTATATACATTATTTAAAAAGTATGTAACCAGTAAAAAATCGAAAATAAAATATATATACAAATGAACATAAAATCTTCTTAAAATTACTTAATTGTGATGAAAAACAAAAAGAGAAATTACATATTTATATATACATAACTACACAATTTATAAACAATAGGCTATCTAATAGAAAACTAACTTAATACAAAATGTAATAATATCTACAGTGGTTTATATAATAATATGCAGAAACTAAGATCAAATAAAATCTTAGGATACTTGTGGTGTAATGGAAAAAAAATAAGTAAAATAAATAAAAGGAAATATTCGGTGTTTTATATTTAGTCGGTGTTAGTTATATATTTCAATAAATATGTAAATCAATGCCTTAGAAATCAAACACTTCTATATCCATTTTAAATGAAATGGTCCGAAGTCGACTGTCACTTACAATAGAACCGTTATCAACTCAGTTAGTGACGGAATATTAAAATTATTTAAATGGAAGCAAGAGATATTAAACGTGTTGACATACTTTAGCTATACCTAACACCTTACTCCGTTATATACTTGTTTACATACTTTATCTATTAAATATTAAATTTTTCGGATCGAATTTATTCAATTAATTCTTTAATAATACTCTAAAAACTTTCTTTTTTGATAGTGAAACTGAATGCTTTCATATTGCAACGCATATCAGTTTGTACGAATTTGCAGTTAACTGTTAATTATATATTAAAAATACAGAAAAGGGGATTTATAATTTGTGTTAAAAAAAAACTCCATCATGTTCGATGTTGTCACATGATTTGATTCGATATTTCTCCTTACAATGGCACTCTGTGAATTATTCATAGCTAACTCTTATGATTATAATTGATAATAAACAAGGTATCCTAATTTATGAACATAAATACTTGATAGCATCCACATTATAATTATCATAATTTTGAATGAAAAAATTTATTTCAGATAAAAATGCAAGCGTTATCACCAGCGTTCCTCTTGGTACTGGGTGTACACTTAGCGATCGCTCAGGACAACCTGAATTTTAATAATTTTGGTAAGTGTTTGTAAAATTATTATTGATATATCAATTCTAATAATTCCTTATTAGATTACATATAGATGTATAATCATACGAGGATCTGATTGGACTGATTATGTAATAGTATTTTATATATATGATCCATGTTTGATGAATTTACTCAACGGAGTGTTAAGATCCCAAGAAGATACGTAAGAAGAGGTATCCCTGACTGAAGTGAAGGCAGAGTGAAGTTGTGCAAGCGAAGTTGCAACACAGTCCCGTTTGAGAAAGTGTATTTCTTCTTTACTACTCTTCGTTATTTTTGTAAACATTCTTTCAAACTTATTTTTCAGTGCATAAATACTAACAATTGATTCCATTTTTCATGATTTTCCAACTACAGCTAGGAGTTCGCATTATCATTTCAGAATGAGGGGCAATGGCTTTTAATTCAGTTCCAAAAAAAAAAAAAAAACCCATGAAGGGTCTCGGGTTCAGTACAATGTGAGCAAGTACTGTTACAAGGCCAAGGGTTGTGCAGGGATGGGATCGGGCTGAGATCATGCTCAACCGCTAGGTTTCTCCCTTTATTTAATTATTTAATTATTTAATAAAAGGAACTCACTTTATAGATGCTGGGTATGTCTCTAGAGGATCTCCAGGCCACAGGGTCGATCCACAGCTGATGAAAAATTATTAGTCATCAGCCGGATTCGAACCTGGGACGTATAGTTCTGGAAGTCGATGCTCACTCACTAAGCTACTCTGCTTCCTATTCAATTCCAAAATCATCTAAAATTTTTTTATTTATCTATTCAGAAATATTACAATCCGTCGTAGTTTAAGACGTTCATAATAGTGCTCAGAGAACACACTCACACTCTATTCACAAGAAATAATATGGAATAAAAATAAATAATAATGCTACTTAATAATACTATATAAGTCGATTTTCTTAATATTTAGGCGGTTGAAGAGATTTTTTTCAAAGTCACAAGAAAAAACTTTTCCTCAACTTTGGACCAAAAAGTGAATGTACGATTTTAGAGAAAGATTGATATTAAGGAAAATATTTTTGCGCATATGTAACAGGCAAATGTGTTCAGTTGGAAATCGAAAAATTCGATAAAATTGATTAAGCACATTTTTTTTTCACTAACTCACTAACTCTTGAGGGAACTACAAAATATTGCACGGCTGCTCAACTCTGTTGAATCACATAGCATACACATAAATAAACAGATAAGATTAAAAAAAATAATAGAAAGTTAGGTATACATAGCCATTGGAATGCATGCAAAGATGCCAAGAATAGTTTAAAGAGGGTGTCTAAGTTCTTAATTGCCAAACTCTTGGGAGTGATTCTAGATAAAATTACAAAAAAAAAAGTTCATTTGATCCATGGGTCGATTCTTGACGGAAAAACAGTTATGACCAATTTTGTGTTTTTCTTAAGGTGGTCACGTTTTTTATTGAATAAGAATGAATTGCTCAATAACTGTTTAAGATAATTAAATTCTAAGTACACAATCGTGATGTAAACAAATTTTTTTGAGATAACATTGATTATATTTACTGAGATCAATGATATAAGGAACTTTCAGGAGATCTAATACGACCGCTGGAAAGAGATATGCTGCTCGTGTATGGGTACTACAGCACTACTGCGGTCGTATAAAGACCTCCTGAAAGTCCATTTTATAATTGACTTTAGTGAATTTAAAGTCCCTTTTCATTGACCTACTAAATTTAATTACTGATTTCACAAAAAAAAAAAAATGTTTACGATGATGTACTTAGAATTCATTTATCTTGAGCAATTCCTTCTTATTAAATAAAAACCTTGACTACTTTAAGAAAAACACAAAATTGATCTTAACTCTTTTTCCGTTTAGAAGCAGTCCATGTATCAAATGAACTTCTTTGTTTTTGTTTAAAATCACTCCCCTCTCCCCCCAGAGTTTAACCATTAAGAAGTGAGACATCCTGTAGAATCGTATACATGAGGCCAAGATCTATGAAGAAGGCCATGTTCCATCAATATACACGGTTACGGAGGATTCTTAACTAGTTTAAAATAATAGTTTCTGCTATGTCTGCATCTGCTCCCTTCCAACACCGAGCCTCTACAAGAGATCACTAGTAGTAAGAGGAATGGTAAGAACTGTAGACGTTTTTGAAATATTTGAGTTTCTAATAAAGTACATTTACGCTTGCATCAGTGAAATGTAGGCACCAACTCGCTTAATCTCTGAATATTTTATTTTAATTGGATTAACAAAGCACCAGGACCAGATGAAGTAGCTCCAGAATTAATTAGATATGGAGGCAACGAAATGATCAAGATCCTTCAAACTCTTTTCCAAAAGATTTGGGACCTCAAACTGATACCACGAGAATGGGAGAACACAATCATAATCCCTATTCACAAGAAAGGCAGCCAAAGCGAATGCGGGAACTATAGGCCAATATGCCTCTCGTCAGATGTATACAAGATATACACAAGAATTCTTGAACAGCGACTAAGGCATATAGTAGAGCAAGATCTAGAGGAGGAGCAAGCCGCTTTCAGACCCGGCAGACAGACCCAAGACCACATATTCGCACTACGGATGATTGTGGAAAAAGCATGGGACCGTGAAAAATCGGTTTATCTAGCATTTCTGGATCTTAGGGCCGCATTCGACTCTGTTCTGAGACACGAGATATGGGACTCACTAATTAGAAGAAGAATACCTGCAAACTTGGTGAGTGCAATTAAATCAATATACCAAGACCCAAAGTGTGTAATAAGGCTTAATGGATACACATCAGAACCTTTCCACTTTTATAAAGGAGTAAAGCAAGGGTCTTAGTTCTCTGCTTTTTATCCTTCTCATGGATGAAATTCGGAAAGTGTGTAAAAGAAGAACCCCAAGGGCTGTTGTGGGATATTGGAATTTGACACCAGTGTGGGCTCAAGCTATGTTATATGCCGACGACATAATTCTTATAGCGGACTCACAAGAGGCTCTACAGACATCATTGGTTGAGTGGGAAGAAGAATTGAAGCAGCGAGGGCTGCATATAAACCCGTCTTAAGAGCAAGGTTATGTGCATTGGAAAGGATAATGCGGAGCCTATGATTTTAAGTAATGACGAACCCCTAGAGGTAACAAATGCATACACGTATCTGTGGCAATCATCAATGAAGATGGCAAAATAGACCAGGAGGTACTAAATCGGGTGATGAAGGCCAATGATATATATTGCCAGATAGCCGATACAATAATAGGAAAACGGGAAGTAAGCAGAAAGGCCTAACTCACAATATATAAGGCGGTATTCCTCGCAGTACTTCTTTATGGATCTGAAAGCTGGACAACCCTCGATAAGCAGGTAGGTAGGATCACAGCAGCGGAAATGCAAAATAAAAGCAATCCGTGGCATCCTGGAAGAGAAGCAGTTGAAATGGTTCGGGCACATCTGCAGAATGGACGACACCCGAAAGGCCAAGTGGTTTATGGAAGCTAGACCGGAAGGCAGGCGACCTCGTGGCAGGCCGAGACACACTTACTATGATTATATTGGAAAACTGGGCACAGCAAGAGGACGCACCATACCGGATATGAGAAGACTGACCGGGGACAGAGACCAGTGGGCAAGATGGGCTGGGACTGCAGCTCCACGTTTAACGGCACAAAGGAGCTACAGAAAGAAGAAGAAGAATTGGATTAACAGCATTAATTTATATGATGTCACACGAATTTCACTACACACAGAAAGACATAGACAATATTTTCGATTCTGAGCAGACAATTTTTTTAACATCCCACAAGGATAGTTATAAATGGAAAACATATGGAAAATATTACTTAAGGGTTTCCTAAATTATAGACTTGTTTTTTAGTTTGAGGCAATTTGTTTTAAAACGTATTCGAACAATTTATAAAAAATGTAGGAAAGACATAAGGGACATATCGTCGGTTTATAACAAAAAGTCGTTAAGTGACATTTCATAAGCTTAAATCATTAATTATTTTGATAAATTTAGTCTTTTGTAAAATCAGAAAATTGTGCTCTTGTTACTATACTTTGCATAAATATTAAAGGATTATCGTCATTTTAGTTCACTTACTTTGTTTCTTTATCAATAAATTAGACCGAAATTCATAAATGCCTTCTTAAAAATTTGGCTCAATAAAAAAGGTTCTTAATGACTTTTTGCAGTAAAATGACAATATGGTTGTGCTTGACAAAGTTTTTGTAAGATGAAGTAGTGACTAGAGGACATTAAAAAATAATGCTTAATTAAATAAATATTATTTGTATAAATATATAAAAAATATATGTGTGTGCGTGAATAAATAATAAAAAAAGAGGACACCGTTCATCGTTTTATATTTCATATTGGTTTATATTTTTTTTCTCACTGGATTTAATTCTGAGAATTGAACTGAGGGGTCAGAAAAATGATGAACACATATAAAAAAAAAAAAAAGAATAAACATTCTGTTATTTAAAAATTTCCTCAGTAAGGAAATAACCAAGGAAAGTCAGTAGAAAGTTTATATATATATATATATAACAATGATTAGTTCTAGACATTATAATTTCTAAATTTATCTATGATTATATATGACGTATTTCATAACCCAGCTGACTGGATTTTATAATTAATGCCTTCAAGGTCAACATGAATTCTTTTAAACTAATGGGAATATATTGTATTTTTTAAGGACATCTATTTTTACTTATATTTCAAATACTGTCACAGATTAAAATTTAAACAAAAATATTGTAAAGTAAATTGTATACAGGAGTGATAAAATTGATGTTGAATGTTACTAATAATTCAAGAATTTATTCAGGTTATTTTTTTTTTTAACTTTTTTTAATGAGGGATCGTACTCTGTTTGAAATATAAGGAGAGATAGAGTTTATTTATTCCATCAGCCTTTTAAAATGATCATTATTATTCATGGAGGTTTATTGTTCATCTTTGTTTGGAGGAGGGGTGAGGGGGGGTTGTTTGGAGGAGGGATGCGGGAGGTTGTTTACTTTGAGGGTGGGTTAGAAAGAGGAAGAAGGATTTCCATTTTATGAATAGGACATGGTATAAGACTTTTATTTTTTGAGCTTGAATGACTTTGAGCTATGTTGGGGCATGAGATACTGCTGGTGTAATTTTGAATAATTTTTTATTAGAACAAGAAAATGAAAATTTTCTATTGATTTTAAATTTTGACCTTTATTTTTAATGCATACACATAAGCATGGATAGAAATGAAAATTAATTTTTATCTTCTGGTGATCTATATCAATTTAATTTTTGGGTTATTGTCAGTAAAAAATTCCTAAATATTAAATTTTTTTAAAAACGTATTAATGAAATTTGTAACTGTATAAACTAAATATAAAACTAGTAAATCTATACAGGGATCGAAGAGGAAGCAAGGTTAGACACGAGTGGGTTAGGATGGGTCTGAAGTACTTAGTTTAAGTACTGACTTATTTTTTAAATTATTATGCAATATAAGATTTTGTACTATTACTGTTATGTATATATCAGACCGTTTATGATTTTGTATAATTTTACAGTGGATACCTTTGCCAACTGTAAGTGGGACTCACCTGACTTTGACACGTGTATAAAAGGTGCTCTAAATACCTGCAGAACTTATTTCAAAACTGGTGAGTCATTGATAATTGTTTGTTATGTAATTTATAGGTAATGACCTACTTCATTAAAGACTTTAATGAAGTAGGTGAGGTTTAAATTGAGTTCAATTTCTTTTTAATGATATACTTTTTCTACGTGTTTCACAGTCTTGAATTCATTCTTCTGATATATTTATGCATGGTATATTTACATTGAAAGGAAGTCTAAATCTTCATTATTATTAGTTTTTGATAATTAAGTGATGAGACGTACACTTTTGATATACTTCACTATATGTGTTGTTTTTATTTATGTTTGAACTTTTGAAATTTTATTTATTGTTTGATGAATATATTGAGAACACCACGACGAACTTCAATGAATGAGAGATAAGCGTCATTATTGCGGGCTATTTTTTCAAATTTTAATCTAAAATTATGTTATTTTTTTAATTAGTATGCCTACAAGAAAAGCTGTACACCTAACTATAGCTCGTCCACTACTAGTTGGCAACTTTAGTGAAAATTCATGTAACATTAAGATGAAATTAAAGCATTTTTCCTTTTATTCCAATTATTTACAAATATATTTATATATTGTAAGCTCGCAATATCATTATATAATATAAATATGAATAGATTTTTTAATATTGTGAAAATAATATCGAAGGGTTAAAAAAAAGTTCTTTAGTTTCAACTTCGCCTGGGTTCAACCTTGACTTGCTTACTATGGTCGAGCTTTATTTTTAAAGTGAATATCGATGCAACAATTTTTAAAAAGAACAATAAATAATTTCGTAATACGTTGATTCTAGAAAAAGAAAGAAAATATATTATATATTCCAAGTTCTAACTTGGAAGTGAAAATATTTTTAACCTTCCATCCATTCCTGAAAGGTATACAGTTTACGACTTCACATTGCTTTTTCAGTAGCAATTCAATTCAGTGAGGGTCGCCTTTCGCAATTGCTAGCGGTAGGATTGAAAACCAATAAGGTTAGTATTGATCTTGATGTGTCGTGATTGACAATCCTTATATGTTCTTAGAGTTCAATACTAGTATACAAAAATAGCTGAAGCATCTAGTAAAGAATGTAAATTAGCAAAAGAGAAATAGATTAAGATTACTTCAAGATCCACTTATCAGATGCTATAAATTTCCAATTTATGGCAAAAAAACGATATACTATTTTTAGGCTTCACTGAAAAAAGTTGAGCTTTTGGGTGGTAAAAAAAAATATTTAAATTTCTTCAAATCCGATCTTTACCACCTAAGTCGTCAATAAAATCATTAAAATCTATATATGCAAGTTGCTAATTTGGCTCAAAATGAACGCCCCACTTTTTATAATGAACCCTATACCCACATAAACCTTATAGTCCATGGTATAGACTCCTTTTTATCGAATTATTAACATATCCCTGTAACTTCGTGAATAGCTTCATCACATCGTAACCTAAACTATTTTATCTACGAAAACTCTTGGAATCGGAACGTTGTCAATCTGCAGATCGGCAAAATTTGTCTATTTAATAAGGTACTAAGAATCCATTCGATTTCCACTTTAAACGGACGATAAATGTGGCCTGCAAAAATATTGGAACGTTTGGCCTTTTAACCTTGCTATTTTAACATTTTGGGATTGTAGGTCACGCCAAACTGCTACATTTTTTGAACTCCCCTTTTTTTTCTCGATTTTGGTTCAAATTATCTTACAATGCAAGTGGAAAGTAAATGCGTAGTTTTTAGTATCTATTTGAACAGACAAAATTTGGGGAACTCCAGTTTGAAAACGACCCAATTCCGAGCATTTTCATAAATAAAATAGTTGTAGGTAACGATGGGAAGAAGTTATTTACGAAGTTGCTGGCAGATGTAAATAATTTGATTAAAACAGATATAATCATTACAAATGCTAAACCGAATATTATTAAGTAGCAATGGTAGCATTGAAATAATTATTTTACGTCAAGAGATTCCTGTTCACCAATTTTTCAAATGTCTTTTTGGAATTTATTATTTGTTAACAAATCGCTTTGTTTCATTATTCTTGTTTTCAATCTTGTCCTGCATTAGTTTACAAAATAATACAAATCATTAGGCAGAATCTGGACGGTTCTGAGTTAAAATATGTCAGAGATTGGTTCTAAAAAGTGAATGAAGAAGAGAAGCACGTCCCGATACAATCATTTTCAAAGCACGGTAAAAATCAACTTGATGTGTGGTTCAGAACAGCCGAGCTGCAATGACTTCTTAATGTAACAATGATCATTGTGTGTATTTTCTGAGTAACGAGTCTCATCATAAATTCATGAAGCTAAAATATCAATATGTAAATATATTTGTGATTCTCATCCGATCAGTTATTTTGGCCATGAAGTCCACTGCTTGAAAATGTTAAGTTTACATACATACGTGAGTGGTTTTTCATCTACGCATCTCTAAAGAAAAACTCAGTAAAAAAATGATTGAAATAATGAAAGAAAAAGGCACATTTGACTATTTATAATTACATTTCATCTTCAATCTAATATTTACATTAAAACTTAGTAGTGGTATACAAATAAATACCTGAGGAATGCTTTCAACATCAGTTCAGTTTCAAACTCCTCACTGTATAGCAATCCGAATTTTAGTTCACGATTTTAGCTCTGTTATTCATGCAATAGTAACCAATATGATTATGTTTATGTGGTTATATTTTGTCTTTTTCGATCTCGATGAAGATTGAAATCGTGAAATATTGAATGATTTGTGATTTACTGTCCTTGAGAGTCTTGAGGTTTTTAAATCTTTCAATAATACACTAAAGGTTTTTATTTCACCCTCTTTGGCATTTCTCTTTCAGGAGTCCCAGAACTGAGCATAAGTCCTTTCGATCCATTCTTCGCCAAAGAGGTCGTACAGACTCGAGGAGGAAGTAACTTCAACTATAAGCTCAAACTAATCAACGTATCCGAATATGGATGGTCGGATTCGATAGTTACTAAGTTCAAGTAAATATCGATTGAAATTCTTCAATATTATTTTAACTTGATATTGAAAATATTTTGTAATCCCATCTTTATGCTTTTCTAGGAGCAACAGAAACAAGCGGTGGCTCCAGTACAGCCAGTTCTTTCCCGAAAAGTGGCTCGACGGGGAGTACGAGTTCCAGGGGAAGATGATGAACAGGAACATCGACAACAAGGGAGCATGGAATCTGACTCTTTGTGAGTAGAGACACTATTTTATTTTATTAATTCATATTAAATTTTAACCTTCCACGACCGCCATGTGAATCTATAATATACCTATATATATTTCGGTAAATATACACTGACAGACAAAAAATTCCATCCACTTGATTTTTTCATGTTTTCATCTAAAAATATTTCTGCTTTGGATTGGTCTGTTGTTTTTAATGAATAAATAGGTAATCTATTTGTTTATTTTCAATTAGGAATGATAATATAGAGGATAATAACCCTTAATCCTTAATTCAATGAAGTGATTCTGGATTCCAATGTTTACTTTCTATGGAATCAAGATGTTTATTCAGTATCATTAGTTCAGTGCCGTTTCTCGCAGCACATTTCTTAGTCTCCGGCTCTTAATTTTTTCAATGTTAAGTTTAAAAATGCCTCTAGCATATCTTTGCTGGAGGATAGCCCATTTCTCCCGAAGAGCTCGCGCTCTTATTCATCTTCCGAGGTTATCCCATAAATGCTCAATGGGGTTTAAATCTGGAGAACGTGCTGGCCAGGCTAAAACCTCAATATTGTTCTGTTGAAGGGACGTCTGCACTATGCGGGCGAAGACTATCCACGAACAACAATCAATTCTGTGCGGCGCTCCATTGAAATCCCAGCCCACACCATTAAGGAACCACGTTGAAAAGGTTGGCTCTGGAAAAAATTACAGTTTGCACATGCTCTCCACACCACTTCCCGTCCGTCTGGAGATCGAAGAGCGAATCTTGACTCATCTGTAAAAAGTACAGCACTCCATTCGTCCATAGTCCAATGGCTGTGTTCTCTAGCAAAAGCCAGCCGTGTTACTCTGTGATTCTGGTCAACTCTGGTCTTCTTACTGGACGAAAAGCCATTAATCCATACTCATTTTATCTTCTCCGAGCGGTACGTTCAGAAATTTGCACACCTCGAACTTCTTCGCTGAATGAATCGCTTGAACAACGGTAAGGTGCCGGTTTCGTAAAATTCTCAAAGTCAAAAACCGTCCATCCCGTGGTTCTGTTACCCTAGGCCGTCCAGAACCGGGCCTTCTATTGTAAGAACCAGTTTCCCGAAAACGCCTGACGGCGTCTCGTAAGGTTTCATATGGAACTCTGATGGCATTAGCTACATAACTAATGGAACATCCATCATCAATAAGTCCCACACCACGCGCAACATCCTCAGCACTAAGAGGCATTTTTAAACTTAACATTAAAAGCCGGAGACTAAGAAATGTGCTGAAAGAAACGGCACTGAACAAATGATACTGAATAAACATTTTGATTCCATAGAAAGTAAACATTGGAATCTAGAATCATTTAATTGAATTAAGGATTAATGGTTATTGTCCTCTATATTAACATTCTTAATTGAAAACAAACAAAAATATTACATATTTATTCATTAAAAACAATAGACTAATCCAAAGAAGAAATATTTTTAGATGAAAACATGAAAAAATCAAGTGGGTGGAATTTTTCGCCTGTCAGTGTATAATACCATTGTTCTTCTTATGCCTAAAACCTTCTTCAGTTTAAGTCCTCAGTCCATTCCATTACCTTTATTTTATGCCTTTATATCTTATATACCTTTATATCTTATATACCTTTATATCTTATATACCTTTATATTTATACCTTTAGATACCTTAGATATATAGATACCTTCTGACCTGGACATTTCTTCTCACAGATCTGCTTCATCTAAAACTTCTTGGTTGCCCGCTTAGTCAATTTCTGGAATTCCCTCCCTATCGAAATTCGGCATGCTCTCTCCGTATCCACATTAAAAAACCTCCTATTTTAGTTTCTCTTCCAAAAACCGATACCTGCTAACTATTGACATTATACATGTATTTTATATCAAACATATTATCATATGATAATACTGTTCTTTGGTAGGAATAGTACATGAATTTCCTACTTTCAACAACCTTCAATAGATATATTTCTTTGCTTTAATTATTGATAGTATTTTCTCTGATATAAAATTAAACAGTTACACGTATCTTCCAAAACAGATGATGCTCTTCTTATGATGTATTTTTACATATTATACAGTGTTTACATAATTAGGTTTATATTGACAGATGCAGGTTCCATTTTTCTTAGTTGAAACTTATTTATGTATGTAGAATTTGTTTCTGAGAAGAATTTAATTTATTTTTTCATTCTTTCTTTCTTCTTTTCTTGAAGTTAATATGTATACTGTTCTACCATTATATATAGGTTTATGGGCTTTGTTCATAGTTTCAAGTATTTTGAACAGTTTTATTTGTTTTGTATATAGCTTGCTCAATTAAAGTTTTCTTCAGTTTTTTAATTTTATTTATTGTTTCGAATTTTTAGAACAAAAGTAATCTTTTCTTTTTGTACAATTTTGTTATTCAAAAGAGACTTTGTCCCTGAATAAAGTTCTTTTCTATCTATTTATCTATATATTTTCCACTATATTATAAATTTTATATTCACACAATATATTTTCAGGCTTTCAATTGATCGGAGCAATGAATTTTGTTGAATGAGGTCTCAAACTAAAGGAAATTTGATTCAGAAGCTACTAATCTCAATTTCGATCGTATATAAATTCCTAATCTAACTTTAATAAAAGTCCTTGAAAAACTTGGGAAGTTTTTCAAATTTCAGATGGGTTCAATTGCTACGTTTTAAAGTTCAAAAAGGTCCTATTTTCGAGATAAATAGTTTATAATAATTAAAAAATTTATATTTATGATAGTATTTCATATACAAAAAATCTATTGAAAATAGAGGAGAATAACTCTAAGTCTTGTAGTTACTTATTAGCTTAATACTAAAGAGATATTACTGTAATTTTTTATACAGAAGATAACTAACTACGTCCGAATGAAAAATTAGAACAGTTAAATGCATAAGTATATTGGTTATACCAATTATTAACATATAGTAACTAAAATTGTCAAGTAACAATAACTATTTTGCCTCAATTTTTATTTAAAAATTGATAAAATATGTAGAGAGTGGTTTTGGGCAAGAACTTTTTGTATGCCCAATTATCCTCCTTATTGGAAAGAAAAGAAAATCGATTTTTTTTACAATTTATGGTCTTGGTCTTGTAACAGTTAGGTGGCCTTGGTCTGCAAGACCAAAGTTGGTCTGGCAAAGCGCAAGACCATGACCGATTTTGGGCAACACTATAAGTTACAGACTCCTATACTCTTTGTAAGTGAGAAACCTAACAAACTAAGCCTCTTCTATACCAAACGAGTTAGCGAGCGAGTACAACATTGGATTAGCAGAATTAGCTGTGTTTTATTACCTATTTAACAAAAGGAATATTTTCCAGAACGGCAAGCTGATAACTTATAAAGTAAATTATATCTTCTTAAAAAAAGTCCTGGCAAAGTATGAATTTTCGTCAATATTGTCTGTTGAATAGAGGCTATCTAGGTAATATTATATTGTATATATGAATAAACATGTTTTTAATAAAACTTAAATTGTATCGTAGTAGTAATTTATTACTTCAAGTTTTTGAATAGACTTTTTGATATTGTGAGAGGGTGATTCTGGGCAAGAACTTTTTGTATTGCCAATTATCCTCCTTATTTGAAAGAAAATGTTTTCTTTTCAAAACCATGGAATTGTAGCATTGAAAAAGCTTCTTTTATTAAAAAAAAAATATTAAAAATCTTCAATTATAAAGGTTTTTATAACTTTGAAACTTTTAATGATCTGAAATGTAACGTTATCTTTATATAGAACAACAAACTTTTAAAATGAAAAAATAATGAGAGTATCTTTCAACTAATGCTAATGCTTTGGTAACTTTAATGAATTATGAAAATAATTTTTTTAAAAATTATTTATTCATGATATTTACTCTGTATTAAAAAAATACATCTAGTAAATTTTTACAAATGAATATGATGACATGAAAACACCTGTTGAGAAAATATCCACTGGTACCACTCTAATAATATGTCTAAATTAGGAGATCATATAGCTAATCTCGGAGGGTTATCAGAAATTGAAGAGGGAGCAAAGTTAGAAACGAGAGGGTTGGGCGATATCTGAAACATAAGCAACATCAAGGTTGTTAATAATAATTTTATTTGTAACAATGTAAAAGGCATTGAGGATTTTTTTTTTTTCAACCCCCAGGAATTTATTTGCTATACAAAATACGATATATAAATACGATAATATAAATGCAATATAAATACGATATATTGAGGATTTTACGAAGGATTTTGGATTATATGGATTGGATATCAGAGGGATTCGATGGGATAGTGGATAGTGGAATGGACCTTATTGTAGTCATGTATACGAATCTTTTGTAATTAATTGGAAGCTTAGAGCGTTTGCCTAGTAAGTGCTGAAGCAGCCAGGAACGTCGAGCTTTTTCTTGTCGTTTCAGTCTAGTATGTGGATAAAATAATAACTACAAATAAATATATACACACAAATATATAACGTATCGTATGTTCATTAGGTTATGTTTATCTCGAGAGTAATTGGTGATGGTCTACAACAGTTATGAATTGAATATTGTCGTGAGCCTTAAAACTAGATGATTTCCTGGTCAGTACGCCAATTCCCATTTTATAGAACATTGCACTCCTCTATTCCCCTCAGTAGATGATTTGCTTAATCGATTATTGTTTATAGAATAAGAATTTTTTTTTAAATTGTAATAATTTTATTGGATAAAGATAATCCAACAGTATAAAACTCAATTATAATATAAAAGTTAATAGAAGCAGCTAATTTTAATAAACATTACCAGAAAGGAGTTAATTTCTCAATTGCACACGCACCACTTACCGTACACCGAGCCCTCTACCATTGCAACAGATATTTCTCCATCGGCCTGGACATGGGAAAAGGCTTCCGCTTTCTTCATTTTTAATAGAATTAGTTTTTCTCGCAACCTTGTTGACTGGAGCTTTAACAATTGGCGGAAGAGACTGGAAAACGTTGACGGAGATGAAACTTTTTTGTAGGTCTTGCAACTTTT